CAGGAGGATCAGGTTCTGTGCAGGAGGATCAGGTTCTGTGCAGGAGGATCAGGATCTGTGCAGGAGGATCAGGATCTGTGCAGGAGGATCAGGTTCTGGATCAGGTTCTGTGCAGGAGGATCAGGTTCTGGATCAGGTTCTGTGCAGGAGGATCAGGATCTGTGCAGGAGGATCAGGATCTGTGCAGGAGGATCAGGTTCTGTGCAGGAGGATCAGGTTCTGGATCAGGTTCTGGTCAGGTTTGTCTGTTAACACAGGAAATAGCAGCAACACAGTTTAAAGGTCAAATCAGTAACAAAATCCACACAAATTGCTTCATATCCTCCCTAAATTAAACATTTACAAACACAAATTGCTTATTTTATTGTTTTAATAATATTGTGTTGATCAATTTAGCATTTAGCTACAGTTTTACTAGTTTAAGCTTTCCTGCTGGTTTGAGCTTTTAGCTAATGTTTTTGCTGGTCTTAGCTTTCAGCTTTTGACAATTCTAATTTTATCTTTTGTTTTCCTCACGTAGCTACGGTTCAGTTTTATGTTGCATTAAAGTTTTTTTTTTTTGGCTAATTTTAGCTTTGATCTGTTTTGCTCATTTAGATTTTCCTAATGCTTTACTCATTTGACCTTCAGTTGTTTTTGTTCATTTTAATATTTTTCCAATATTTTTTATCATAGTTTTTCCCACTGATTTGAGCTTCTGGCAAGTTTTTTGCTAGACTTAGCTTTCAGCTTATGTTTTGCCAGCTTTTAGCTACTGTTTAGTTTCATTTTATATTTAAGTAACTTTCTTGGCCATTTGAATGTCTCTGCTCAATTTCTAGCTTTTAGTTAATATTAGCTTTAGCTTTTTATCTTTCAACCTTTTAACTTGCCTTCAGCTACTTTTTAGTTATTGTATAATTAATTTGGATACTGTTTGCTTTTAGCTACTGATTTGATACTTTTGTAGAATATTTTGCTCATTTTACCTTCTAACAATAATTTTATTTATTTTAGCTTTTTCTGATTTGGCATTTTGGCTTCTGCTACTTTGAGTTAAGCTTTACTTTTAGTCTTTAGGTAATATTTTACTGCTTTTAACTATGGTTCAGCTACTTTCAGCTAGCCTTTTGCTATTTTAGCATCCATTTGATTGATGCATATAATTTTATTTTGGCTTATAGCTAGCCATTTAGCATTTAGCTACCTTTTTCTGTTTTAGTTTTTAATCTGATTTTTGAGCTGGGCTTAAAGGACATAAAGCTTTAGATCATTTTTATTACTTTTAACATTTAGCTACCCTTTTTCCTATTTTAGCTTAGCTTTGTGCTCTTTTTAAGCAATACTTTTAACTTTTTGCTACTACTTTTCTGTTGTAGCTTTTAGCTAACATTTTGCTACTTTTACTTAACCTTTTCTGCAAATTTTAGTATTTACTTAAAGTGTATCTTACCCCACTGTGAAAAGATAACTCCGCCCCAAGGCGAAATTTGAAAAATGCATCAAAGTGGGTAGGGGAGGGGCTGTGGGTAGGGGAGGTGGGGTTAGAGAGCGGAGGTGTGGCCAGGACGAGAGAACGTGACAGCTAGCATTAGCATAATTGAAGCTACATGGAGAGTGACCACAGCATCGCAGATAGTTACATCTCTAGAGTGACCACAGTATCGCAGATAGTTACATCTCTAGAGTGACCACAGTATCGCAGATAGTTACATCTCTAGAGTGACCACAGTATCGCAGATAGTTACATCTCTAGAG